AATGGAATACCTATTTCTGACAAAAGTAAACAAAAAAGGGGACACAAATGAAGGACCATGTTGTATCTGTATATACAAAATAGTTAGGATAGATATACAGCTACTTTCTCTTAATTCAATGAGAAGAAAGATTTGTACTAATAGTGTTTGGACAGGATATCACATCTGCATCTTGTACAATGAATAACCACTACAAAGATAACAATATGCCATACATTAATTATTGAAACTGTTCCACTAATCAGTTTTGAAATTATCTCCTTGCTATTTGTTTCTCAATACAATTAATAAAAAAAATTTAAGTGTCTAAATAAAAGACTAATTACAAGGAAAAAATACCAAATCTGAAATACTTATGGTCCAAACATTTTGACCTATACTTCTCTGAAAAAGACTCTGCTTCCATTTTGCTTTGCCGTGAGGACCTCGTAGCATGAGGTGGCTTAGCAGAGCTCAAGTCTCAGCCATTCAGTCCTTCAGACTCCTCCTGTTAGTGCTGTGGTGTCCTTGGTGCTGTGCACCATGCACCTGACTTTCCTACTGAGACTTCAGCCCTGGACTTTCTGTTGAGTTTTCTTCCTGGGAAGCTCCTTGACTATTTCCACCTTGCACGTAGCTGTTTGCTTTGAGCTACTTGGTTTTTCCCACTTCTGTGCAGTCAAGGTATTGTTTACTTAATTCTAGCCTCCTTTTTTAGCTGACTTTTTATTTAGTTTCCATTTTAGCTTAAATCCATTACACTAAGTACTGTACACATTATTATCCCCCTAAATGAATTTCCTCAATGGGTTTTAGCGAGCAAGGGCAGGGCCCAATGAGCCGGAAGCCCAGGCTTGGAGCTGGCTCTCTCTGGAACAACCCAACAGTCCCCTCCTTCTGGAATCAACATTGTTCCCAGGGGGATAGGTTTTACATCAATGAGGAATGTATTAATTAAAGCAAATGAAAGTGCCCTCATTTGTTGTAATGAATTTAGCTCTTGCAGGCTGTTTTCTTCGGGGTCGCCTCCCTGGATGATGTGCTGAAGAAAGTCAAAAGGAAGAAAGACATTAAGTTCGTCACTGCCTTCAGAGACCTGCTTTTTGCCACCCTGGCTTTTCCTATCTGTGCAGTAAGTTCCCGAGATGTTATTTCTGCTACAATAGACATGTACAACTGGTCAGCCATCTCCCAGGGGCAGCAAGACTGATTGGGAATCCATTTGTTGTAACCAGATTTGCTAAGTGTTCAGTGTGAGGGCTGCAGTTTACGGTCCAGGGTCGTGAGGAAATAGACTACATTGCCAATCACTGTATCGTTCAGCTGTGTATCTTTAGGAAGGCTTGGTGCAAGGCCCTTATTACAGCCTAAGGGAGGAGGTGGAAGAACCCTTCTTAATGAAACAGTTGGCCCTTCATACCTGTGGGTTTCACGTTCACTAATTCAACCAATCATGAATCAAAGATACCCAAATAAATAAATAAATAAATAAATATAAAACCACTGTAATAAAAAATTTAAAAGATCAACACATTTTTTAAACAACTCCTTAAATAACATGTTCATTGCATTAGGTAATGATAGTAACCAAAGGACAGTTTAAGTGCTAGGAGAATGTGCACAGGTTACACTCAAATGCTAGGTCATTTACACCAGACTTGGGCATCCCTGGCTTTGGTGTCCTTGGGGACCCGTCGCTCATGGACATTGAGGAACAGCTGACACCTGAGTGAAGAAAGTGCCGGGGCCCAGGAGATGGTTTCTTTTCCCTTTGTGCATCTTCTTCTCTTGTTACAATAAGTTTATGTTACCTCTACAAATGGAAAATTTCTAATAACAGAACACAGTAAGTTGAAGTTATGAGACTTTCGAAGTCGGCACATAAAAAGAGCAACGAAGGCACTCAGGAGGGACAGCCTTCACTGTGCCAATTGAAGGGGCAGCTGGTGAAAGCGGGGCAGGTATGAGGCACAGGTTCCTTGCTGCTGCTACGGGATTCCCTGCCATCCTACGTATCACCCTTCACTGGCTGGAATGGCAACAAACTGAGGGCAAGCCTGCCTGCGGCCCAGCAGGGCCTAGGACTAGAATTGCTATCCTCATCCACCTGTCATGGCCCGTCTCCTACAGTCCTGGAACTAAATGGAAAATGATCCTGTTCAATCACAATGGATTCTCACCTGACAGAATCCCAGCTGGCATTTCAGATCTGCTTTGAGGAAGACCTCCACCTCTGTCTCCGTAAAGTCTTCCAGAGATTAGGTTTTTCAAGCTAATAATCAAGCTCATTCCATTTTTTAAATGGTTATAAATTAAGTCTGTGACATGGCAGAAGACAGGGAGGTTACAAGATTAATACCCTCCTCCCCACAGGTTGGGCACTGACTTTTCACACAGTGGACAGAGGTTCTGACAGGACGTCCATGGAGTACAAGAAATGCTGAATGCAAAGTTCTGAACAGGGAGAGAGAGTCACTCTCATCCCCTCCCCAGCCTTCCTGCTAGCTCTTGCTATGGGTGTGCGTGTGTCCGTGTGTGTGTGCGCGTGCATGTGCGTGTGTGGTGGAGATTGTCTTAGTTACTTTTCTCTTGTTGCTGAGACAAAACACCAGACCCACAAAATTAAGGAAGGCAAGGTTTATATAGCTCGCAGTTCGTGGAGTTTCAGCCTGTCATCGGCTGGCTCCCTCTGAGGCAGGGTGGCGTGTGAGGGGGAACAGCTCCAGGCTGCGGAAGGCAGCAGAAGCAGCAGGAGCAAAAGAGGAGGAGAGCGCGCCTCTTTTCCTGCGTTCCCCCGGCCTCCCACCCTGCGGTGCAAGGAGCACTCACGCCAATCCATGCCCTCCCCTTGCACAGGGTCAGGATGTTTACAAAGCAAAGACTCTGACCCCACTGAGTTACTTAGTTAAACTTCTAAACTTCGCGAGTTGACACGATGTATCAACTGTTACAGGGATCTAACAAGCGCTGAACTACAGCGGTCCGCACTGCGGTAAAAATCAGCGAAGTAGTGGCCTTATATTTATTTTAGTATTTATGTATATCTTAAGGCTTTATAAACCCTTCCCACCGTCTTATAAACCTTTCCCACACTTTTCAAACCATTCTCTAAACTCGTAAACCTAATTTTAACGACATACCTATATTCCACAGTACTGCAAAATCTCACCATATAGCAAAAAATCTGTGATAAATAATTCAGATTTATATTTTTTGAAAACCCACGAAACAGAGAGTCAGTGAAAGTCAAGCCGCGAAATAGGGAGGCACTAGCGTGCATCTCCCAGCTCCAGGAAGTGCTGGACTACGGGCATGCGCCCCTGGGCCAGGCTGCTGTAGCCTGCATCAAGTGGGCAGAGAACTTAGTCCTGGACTCTTGGTATGCACTTAGAAGAACTCACTGGTTATAATCCAAGACCGGCGGGTGCATCTCTTTCTCTGTAGCTTCTCTCCCCGCCATGCTTTGATCCCCAGCTCTGGTGCATTGAGATATCCCCAGAGAGAGGAGTAGAGCCACCACACACAGTGTCTCCCCTGTTCATTTTACAGTCCCATGATATGAATGAATCTAAGATATTAAAACAGGTACATACTTTTATTTTGCTGTGCTTCCTTGATTGTCTTAGAGAATTTTGGTTGAAAGCAAACTTAATGGTCCCATTTTTGTGTTCTATTTTCCAGTTTGTGTTTCTGGTGTTCTGGACCATATTTCTCTACAATCGAGAGCTTATTTACCCCAAGGCTCTAGATGGCGTTTTTCCAGCGTGGATGAATCACGCAGTGGTGAGTGAAGGGGGCGATTCAGTGAACGCAGAGCGCCAACAGCCTCAGTACAGAGCACCCCCACTTCCGCCACCCCCCCGCTGGCACTCCTGCCCGGCGCGGAAATCGGTTCTGTGCTGATAGGCTGCCTTCCGAGAGAGCGGAGGCGAGGTCCAGACTAGACTGCCGTCTCACTCGCTTAGGAAGTCAGTACAAAGTCAGGAGGCAACTTTGGGGCAGCTTCGGTCCTGAACAGAAGCAGCTTCCACAGATAACAGGGATGTAATGAGGTACCTATATGGGCACGGAGTAAAGCAAACATCCAACGCAGTCCACCCCAGCAGCAGTTCAGCTGTTTCTCCTTCAGGACTGCGCATCACACACGGGACGCTTATTTACATGTTTCCACAAAATTATATTAGTTAAACTTCTAAACTTCTCAAGTTGACATGATGTATCAACCATTAAAAGGATCTGACAAGCACTGAACTACAGCGGTCCTCACTTATCCCTAAGGCTACGTTCCAAACGCCCCGCGATAAGGGAAAATCAGAGAAGTGGTGACATTATATTTATATATATTTTAAGGCTTTACAAACCCTTCCCACAATCTTAAAAACTTTTCCCACACTTTTCTAATATATATATATACACACACACACATATGTATTTACATATATGTATATATGTATATAATATATACACATATATTTACATATAGTATATATGTATATAATATATACATATATATGTATATACATATATTATATAGATGTCCTCTCAGAACCTCTGCTGTGTGAAAAGTCAGTGCCTAATTTGAGGAGCGTATTAATCTTGTGATCTTCCTGTCTTTTGCCATGTCACAGGCTTAATTTCTAACTTTAAAAAAAGATGGAATGAGTTTCATTATTAGTTTGAAAAATCTAATCTCTGGAATATATATAAAATTTGCATTTTGCTTATATTTGCTATACAGTATTGAACTATATATTTAATCAATCTTTTATTTTTATTTTTATTTTTATTTTAAAGAAAAGTGTTCCTGGGGCTGGGGAGATAGCTTGGTGGTCTGAGCCCTTGCCTGGCAAGCACAAGAACCCAGGTTCAGTCCCTGGCATTGCATGCCATGCCGCCATGCCAGGGACTGAAACTGTGCATGGTGGTGCGCGCCTATAATCCCAGCATGGGGTTGGCAGAGACAGGAGGATCTCTGTGAGTCTGAGCTGCGTAGCAATACTCCGTACCAAATAAATAAATAATAAATGATTTTAAAACATTTAAAAAATGCTTTCTTGAAGGGTTAAATGCTGTTTCCCTGCAAATAAGAGCTACCAGGAACATAATCAGCCCTGAAAACTAAAGATCTAAACTGCCAGCCCCGGTCAGCCTGTACTTGCTGTACTTGGCTTACGGTGTCTCCACTGAGCAAGAGAGTAGTGAGGTGTAGTCTTCTGCAGACACTGGCCATCACCATGAGAACCAGAAGTTTGGGTTTATTTTCTATCTAGGTCTTATTTTCAGGGAAACACAGTAGCAAGGCACCTCTGCTCTGAGATGTCCAGGTCAGAGAACTGGAGGGGCAGTAATGGGGGCCCCAACAAGCATAGCTGGAGCCGTGCATCTGGGTTCCCACCTGAGCACTAAGCTTGAGTCTGGGATGCTTGGTGCACAAAGTGAGTGTTCAACATCTTAGCTCAGCTTCTCAGTACTTACAGCAGTGTTTTCTCATTAGTCGGGAGTTTATAAAGCAGTCTCAATTCTGAGAAGCAAGTGACTTTTTACAACTGGGGAGAAATCACTAGGGACTTGGAATCCTTTCATTGTCTTAAAACTTATAATTCTATTAAAACTCATAATGGTCAACTTGGAAAAGCAACTCAATCTAGGTACACTGCCCCTCCCCCATGCCAGCATAAAAACCTGGAGGGGGGCTTACTTTCAGTTAAATAACTGCTCCATGAGATGCTGATTATTGGCTAATACACCACAGTTATGATCCTATTTAATGTTCAAGATCAGAACCTGTGTATTAAAGAAGCCCTACCTCCCAGAAGCCCCTCCTCTCGGCCTCCTCTTGTCTTCCTGACTCCCATTGACATTCAATTGAGACATCCACCTAGGACACATTCCTAACTTTTTTTTTATGGCACTTCATACTACACAGCTCATTTAATTCATGCAACCTTCTTTTCATAACTACCATCCTCTTGAATTTTTACACATTAAAAAAAAAAACAAAAAACCTAAGACAGGGTTACTGAGCTGTGTGGGGTTTTGAGATCAAAGACAGGGTGGCCAGGACTATAATTCAAGGCTAATTCACTTTTTCTGGCTTTTGCTACTGTTATGTCCAGAAATTGTGGTTAAATCTAGTTATAATAGATCAAGCAATCAAAAGCATGTCACTTTGTTATATTAATTAATTTAGGAAAATGGAAATTTTCATTTGAAAATGACAGAATCTATATGCTAACTCAAACTTCTGAGGAAGTGAAGTTACTTGAAACAATTGGCTAAACTAGATGTTACTAAAATAATAAATAAAGACAGTGTCTCAAAAGAGCCATTTATTTGGGCCCAAACATGTTCAAACATCTTGCCAAGGACTCTGTTTTTCACATTGATATATCGTTGGATTTCTTCCAGATAGTTATGGTGGCAACACCCAATATTTGTGACCTTGCTAAATAAACAGCCATATGGATTGTTGATCATTTTGGAAGCAGAGAGCCAGATAACATACACCACATCTATGGGCTAATTAGGGACGGGGATATTGTTTTTTTTATTTTTTTGTTCCTCGAATGCCTTCAGGGCACTTTTGGCCAGCGGGAGAGTTGTGAGGTTCGAACTCCAGCAACCTGAGGCTGACAGCTTTGTGGAAGCAGCCACTTAAAGGCCTGAGCTAGGGCCAGGCCCCCGGGGATATTGTACAATGGAGATCCCTAAGTCTTTTCATGCCTTTACTGCCTGGGAGGGTGGGGTGCCGGTGACCCTGTCTACGTGAAGTTTGGGTGTCGGTGACCCTGTTTACACAAAGGTTGGGTGCAGGTGACCCTGTCTACTGTTGTCCTTTGGGCAACAGAATTTCAAATCCCTTAGAGAGAAGAGGCAAGAATCAAAGGAGGTGAGGTACTGATGGCTAGGAGAAGAAGTGAGAGCCTGCCTTGAGTCAGATTCAGATGCATCTGTTTCTTTGAACTTAATTAAAGAAACTCCCAACAGAGCCATCTCTAGGAAAATCTCAGTATCAGCAAAACCACCAGCTTTGGGAGTCCCTAATGCAGTCACCTCCAAACTTCTGCTTCCCTTCAGTATCTGCTCCAAAAAAAGACTATGCTGCCTGCTGCGTCTCAGCCCTCTCAGAGTCTCCCTTCTGGACATTTCTGTCTTCACTGTTCCGTCATCTGGGTCTATTGTCTCAAGAGTGTGCTTTGCCATGTACATCCTAGTGTTCACAGTGTCCAGTGCAGAAGTGACTGTTCCTGGGAGCTAAAGTTTGTATGCAAGTATCCCCAAAGGCTTGTGTGTTAAGGTTTGGGGGGTGGTGAAATCTTCAAGAGGTGGGGCCTGTTGACAGGAACTTGGGTCCCTGAAGGCATGCCCTTGGAAGGGAAAGGAAGGGCCCCAGATCTTGTCTTCTTCGTGTAGTTTTACTTCAGGGCCATGAAGTGAGAGGTTTCTCTCCTCTGCCTCTGGCCCGTCATGTTGCACTGCCTCGCCAGGGGCCCATAAACAATGCAACCAACTGTCATGGAGCTGAAGTAAGTGTTTTTTCTGCATACATTGACTATACTAAGGACTGGCTATAGTCATGAAAGCTGACTAGCACACCTGGTCAGTTTGTAACACTTCCCACATTTTATAGCGCCCTTCATGACAACCTAGGGGAGTGGACACAGTGCTGGGAGAGTCCCCATGGGAGCCAGGGGGCTGATGGACAGCTTCAGTGTGGGACCAGGCCTGCTGAGGACTGGCGTGGCTCATACCCTCCTCCCTTTTCCTTCTCATGGTACCCAAAGTACTGCTGGCCTGACAGGTTCTTTCACTTCACCATACTCCTTCTGTTTGTTACTCTGGTTTTAGCTTTGGAATATTTTCCCTGTTGCCACTTGTGGTGTTGTCCCCACTTTTATGAGTAATAGTTGTGAGTGCAGAAATACCACTCTGTCCTTTGACCAGTGTGCTGCTGATAGCTTCCTGATTCATCAGGTCTTTGGAGTCCTCCTGGCCCATGCCTACCCCTTCCACCTTATTGGAAACTCATCAGCACAGCAGGGTCTCATCTAAACGGTCATCTCTGATGTTCATTCTCCTGCACTGGCAGTTTGTGCAGCCCAGTGACACCAGTGGGATATTTGCCTCCACCTTGGACAGCTGCCTGCTGCTGGAAGGGCAGTTCCTACTGGGCCTGACTGCCTTAGTTAAAGGAGATCACCCTATTTTATAACTACCTGTTCTCCAGTCTTCATAAAAGAGGAGAAAGAACAGCAAAGTATTCCTGCAGGTTTTGGCAGGAAAACCATTAGGTCTTATCTAAATGCTTGCTAAAGATAGAAGCAGAGCAGACAGATTTAAGGAGCCGGAAGCAGACTCTCAGGAACTGAGAAAACTATCAGATCCTAACCAGGGGAAGCCAGAGAACTTAGTTCTCTGGAAATCAACCTAAATTGTTCAGGTTGCCCCAAAGCAGCAGAGAAATAGATCGGTGCTCATCCTCGAATCTGCCTGCCTGAGAAAATAAGTGCACAATTAGTGAGAATGCGTGCCGAGGTCCTTATAAAGTACCGAGAACTGCCAAAGTATAGCTTATTGTAACATGAAACTGAAGAAATCACATCCGACATCCACAGCCCCCCACCGTATCTGTGATCACATTCTGAGAACTAAAAAGCCCCACTGATACTAAAAGACATTTCAGCACAATCCATCACCAGGAGATAGGCAGGCTCCTCACAGCCCCTGAACTTGGACAAAGCACCAACGCTAGCTATTTGCTGACTGAATATGTGGTCATCTAT